TCTAGCATATGGTCTGAAACACACTTAACACACTTCCTATTTGATCCATAACAGATATCATGCACAGAAATTTCTTACCTTATCACTGAAGGAACAACCACACGAGCAAGAAATCAGTCCACACAAGACAGCCACTGCACCACACAGATCGGCCCTCTATTCTTCATCGATTAGGGGAGGGCGACCTTAGAAACCACAACAACCGACCACACACGACCTGACTGGAGGCATAGAAACCTCCAAGGGTAGAGGGCGATCACTCCTTTTCAGCCCTTTCCCTTATTTCTAATCGAATGCAGAAAAATCAAGAGAAACCCTAGATAGGGTGCGCAAAGAATAGAAATCTAGGCAGACAGAAATCTAGGAAGATTCAAGTAGCTCTGATACCACGTTATGATTCGGCCTGCCTTGGTGTTCTATCTGTCTGAGATCGGTTATGTAGAAAGAGGTAGAAAGGTGGAAGAAAGAGAGAAAGATAGAAAGGAGAAAATCTGGTTCGAACTGGAAGTCTCAAGTCAATTCTCCCAGTCGGCCAGACAGTACTTTTATTATTAAAAATAATTGAAAAGACATATGTGCCATTATTTAAGTAAGGAGCACTGGTTCTAACACAACATTACAAATCAGCAACATTAATCTAGGTATAAAGACAGAAATACCCCTACGCTAACAAAAATCTTTTTCAGGTGGAGACCACAGGGAATTAATCATTTCCTTTCTTGAAGGGCTTTTTGCCACTGGACCCCAATTCCTCCAAATATCACCAAAGGAGAAAAGAGGGAAGATGTCTAGTTGGATTGACTTCTTTTCCCACATTCATCCAAAAGGAAGCAGGAACCCTTGCTTATTCCCACACCACAATGAGATATTATTTTAGTGCATCATGTTAAGGGAACACCCTAGCATACCTTGTCTATTTCTACCACACTCGCGTTAAGGTGAAGCATGTTTTGACAAGGACTCTTGTTTAATGCATTAACAGTATGGGCTAAGTTTAACACAAAATGTTATTGTTTACTTCTTTTAATTGATATGGAGCAATGATATTTTTGTGATAACATCAAAATGTCATTTAACTTTGAGACTAGGAAATTTACTCTAAGCTGTCTATTAAGTCCTTGCTTGAGCTCAAGTCAAATATGTCATACCTATGAATTACAAATTTCAATCAATGGATTTACATGTCATGGCCACAACACCAACAACAATAGGTTATCTATTTGTATAGACACCCAGTAAATTCCTTTGCAAATGATAAAACTCTTGTTCACTAAATGCATTACAAAACTCTTCATTATTTTCTTGATTCTTTGAATCAAAAACAATAATAGTAATCAAGGTTTTCAAACCATTGTTGACCCGAACAGTCAGACCATTAGACCCAGTAATCAGTCAAGGTACCGGTTCCATTTTGCCCCCAAACCACTATTTTCCCAAAAACCATTGAATTGATCAACGACAGTGGTCAAACCATTGACCTGGACAATGAATTTCAAGCCAATTTTTTAATTTTTTAAAACTTCACGAACTGATCCGTTCAGACTGGACAGTTGAACCAATGACCTGGAAACTGGGGGCTAAAGCGGTTCCAGTTCTGGGTCAGTTTTTAAAACATTGACAGTAATAATAGAGAAAGTATTAAAAAGTAAAAGAAAGTCTATTACCTGGCCAAACTACTATTTTCCCAAAAACCATTGAATTGGTCAACAACAATGGTCAAACCATTGACATGGACAACAAATTTTTGACAATTTTTAATTTTTTAAATTTTTGAAAACGTCAATAGCTGATCCATCCAGACTGGATGGTTAAACTGCTGACCTGGAAACTGGTGGCTAAATCGGTTCCAGTTCCAGGTCGGTTTTTAAAACATTGACAGTAATAACAAAGAAAACATTAAAAGAAAAGGAAAGTCTATTACCTGATAGGCAAGAGTATAGGCATTAGTTGTTCTTCGTTTTTCAAGTTCTTCCATTATCAAATCCACACACTCCTCCATCTCTGCTTTGTATGGATCACCAGCTTCCTCCACATAAGCAAGCGGCACTCCATGAGCACTAAAAAATATCATCACCTACAATTGATTTTACCAATAATTAGTTTGTACATAGTATGTAAGACCATATAACTTCTGATGTTTGAATTAATCAAGACGAGAAAATAAATGAACATATAAACACGTAAGCAAATAAAGATAAGTTCCATGGGGAAAAGTAAAAAACATAGAGAACTGGAATTCATTATAAAAAAAGGATATAAGTAGACTATGGGGCTGTTCGGTAACAGCTTAAGTGGTAGAATTGAAAAGCCTATTGCTTTGTCTTTTAGTTGATTACTACATCCTTGAATATTTTATTATTTAATTATTTTATCCACTAAATGGCAAAGCAATAAGTCATTTAGTTCAGCAACTTTAGCTCTTATCAAAGAGCCCAATATTAGATGGAAGCTTTAAAGAAAATCCACCTATTCAAAATAAATTGTAAAGCATTGCAATATGCAATGGAAAATAACCAAAGCTTTCATGCTTAAAGTTTACAAATAACCTAATCTATATATGAGAGGCACTGTAGGAATTTAACATTAACTTCTTAAAGAAATAAGTGTGTTTGTCTTTAATTCTGCCAGTTTTGAGCTTCTCTTTCACTTCTGATCCCAAGCCTGAACAAAAGAGAGCTGTGTCAACTTGGCAAGCAGCATCGAAATGTCCAGCCAACACTTATAAACATGAATCCTGGATTGGTTTTTTAATTAATCTATCTCCTGAAAATAATTGTTCTTTTATTTGCAACTTATATAAATTATATTAATTTATATTGGAACCTATATAAATTATTAATTGATTACCAAAATCATATGTTAGAGTAAAATGAAAACAAAAAGTGCCTAGAAGAGGTATACAGGCTGGGAGGGATGAGGAAGAAAAAATAAAACATACACTTCTACAACCTCCACCACCAACAAAGGCCCTTATCCCAACAATATACAAATCCAACAACTACCCCTACAAAAGCAAAAAATGAACAAACCTGCTGTGCCCAGAGCAAGCCCATATGAAAAGACCTAACTATTATAATTCGGCCTGCCTTTGAGTTCTGTTAGCCTGATAACAGCCAAGAAGAGAGAAGAAGAAAGAAGAAAGAGAGAGAGAGAAAAGAGGAGAAAAGGAGAGAAGAAAAGTCTGGTTCGAATAAGGGAAAAATCACTTCTCCCATTCGGCCAGACATGTTTTATATTACTAACATAATGGAAACGACACATGTGCCCTTACTTAAGTGAGGGACACTCGTTCTAATATAATATTACAGATCAGCAACCTCAACATAAGTATAAAGATAGAA